GGGGGGGGGGGGGGAGCCAGTTGAAGGAATGTTACATTGATTTGATGGTCCTGTCGAATCAAATATTTTTTGTATAGTACCTGGGATAATATTGGTACCGAAAAGATATCAAAGAAGTTGGAACTTCGTAATTTACACAGATCACATAGCCTTCTTTATTAAGTGATGTATGGGAGATTGGAGTTAGTCTTGCACGTAGTTGGAATGAATGCACTAAGAATTCAGAAAAAGACGAAAAATTGTCTTCTAAATTAACCTTGGGAGAATTCAGTCATAAGGATGAAATGTATCAGAAAAATGATTCACATGAATTTCATGCAGTAGACTTTGGTATTATCAGAGAGCATTTTCTGTCAGTAAAATAGCACAGTTTCTGTGTTCTGTGAATCATGTGAATTAATATAAAATATTATGTGGAAATGATTTCTACCTATCCTTCAGCATGTTTTGCACGTACTTTCATTTTTAAACGCCAACTTGCACGGAAAATCCGCAATTACAAAAAAATGTGGATCCCATAAAAATTTTGATTTTCATTTCAAATGACCCTGGTGTAAAAAAGGAAAAACTCATGTCGTAATATTTCTGACATATTAAGCACAAAAGTGTCTCGTGTATACTCATTGAATGCCGATTTATAGCATTCGAATGGGTGAGCAATTTTGCGATGCAGAATTCTCGGGCGTTTAGCTGATTCGATTTAGAATAAATAGCCAAAGTTTCTCAGACTTCGTCGAATTTAGTTCCACCAAAACGTTACATTTTACTATTTAATAAAAACCTCAATTTTTAAGAGATGAAGTTCTATTAGGCTTTTCGTTTTTCGTAATCTCTCTTTACAATCCGTAATTTTACAAATAAGCTCAAATATATTACGTAACTTTGAACTACACCTGTACTTAGCATTAAGTTTACGAAATGAAGGCATTATGGACTGGTCGCTTTTGTTAGTTTGTTTGACAGTCCGCTCCTTTCATCTTCGAATTTACCGAACGAATTTGTCTGTATTAAAAGATGCTGGGGGAACTTATTCCGTTTTATATTGGTTCAATGTAGACCCTACATTAGGTTCTCAGTTGTATGTGATCTATATTTAACGACATATATTGAGAAGTAATTTATGTCTCTATAAAGTATCATATCCGTGACTCTTACAAGCTCTGTTAAAACGTAGAATTTGTGCGTTTATTCAGTAAAGTTTTATAGTGTTTAAGAGCTCTGAAAGAATGTATTTATATCTGCAGTAAAGAAACCATAAAGAATTATAGGAAATCGTAAATTTTAATTGTGTGAAATAAGACATTTTAACACTTGTTAATATTCTTCAAGAGCCTGACTCAAATTAGGGCGGTACGTCCTTCCCGTTTTGGACCTTGCATTAAAGTCGTCCTCAGGCACTTCTTGCGGTTTGCTTCAGAACTGGTTACTCAGTAACGACCTCCAGTTCGAAACACCTATGAATCATTGAAGCCGACAAAGCGCCATAACATAAACATATGCACTGCGTATTACACGTTATATTCCGTGTTTAATGTAAAAATGTGCACCCGGTTAGATGCTAGGTGGGCTGTTTGTTAATTGCTTCGAGAATATCAACACATCTCCAAGAAATAAGACTTGAGGTTATGGTGCTTATCCTTTTTACTATAGATTTTGTTTATTGCAACTTACCGAAATGCAAAATTAATGATGTTTCGGAGAGATTTTATACTTCTTTCTTCGTGACCGAAATGACGAAACAAGACCGTTACAAATTTTATTAGATTTACTGTTATGACCTATATATTTGGTGTCATTATCAACAGTAGTAATTTGGGACTTGGTTCGATGGGTGTCAGTTCAAGATCATGACACCCCTCCCCCTACCCCACAATTCCGTTTATATCGTTATAACCAATCACAGTACAGAGCCGTTTGTCTTATTTTGCCCGAATCACGATTCGTGACATTCTGCATACAATGGAGAACAAGACAGCAAGTTCCTTGGAGCATCGGTACTTTTTACAAATTCATCTCGATGAGATACTACTCGTGTCTCAGGAACATCATTTAAGAGATCTACTTTATCTTTATGCAACTTAAATTCTTCCGAATTCTTACATTCCGGTACTCATAACGACCACATATTGGTTTTAAGACTACAGCAAACCTTCACATTTACGGTCTGTATAAAAACTCTCTTCCTCTTCTTAATTTTATTTACTATAGAAGAAAGTTATATCACAAGCCAAGACTGGTTATTGCTTAATGACCGGAAATTTCCGGGTAGGGGCGCTATTTCAATTTTTTCGATGCTCCTAGATGGACTGAAGCCCACTCATTTATATTCTTCAGGGTTTAGGGATTCTTCTGATAATAAAAAACTGACGGAGCGTGAAGCTAACCTCTTACCACCATGCGCTGTAATTAGGACTTTAAGAACGTTCTATAGCCCATGTTTCAAAGGGCACTCTCCATTTATATAATTATATTAATTCTACAAATGTTAGATAATTCTCACCACACGTTGAGAGTCACATCGTTGGGTTTACGAATGTGTATTCAAGTACAGAAATTTTGGTGTGTCACGAATACGTTTGTCAGTGACAAGACTTTGTAATTCGTCCCCTTACTGTTCCCTGCATCCCAGACACCACTCACGTGACCACAGTTACGTAGTCAAAATAATGTTCTCTTACTGTAATGGTAAATCGTGTTTTCTACCAGGTCGTGCCAAACTGAAGAGATATGGCGGTGCTCTACTTTTGGGACTGCTCATGAAAGGAACCATGATGGCTATGGCTTATAAGGGAGTAGCTCTTCTGGCTGGTAAAGCACTTCTAGTGGCCAAAGTGGCTCTTGTTCTGTCTGCCATCATAGGTCTAAAGAAATTGGTGGGCTCCGGTGGCGAAGAGAAGGTCACATACGAAATTGTGAAGCACCCTCATGTATCCCACTCACATTCATACTCTAACGAACACTACGGGGGTGGACACTACGACGTTTCTGGAGGCGGAGGTGACCACTACAGGAGAAGTATGGAGGGTTTGTACCCACATCTGCTAGCGTACAGAGGACAGCAACAGATGCAGGCCAACACACCTCAGAAACAGGCCCAGTAACACACAACAGTACCGAAATTGTCATATGTTTCAGACTATAACGTATTTTATTGACAGAGAAATTTATTAAAACCCGAATGTGGAGTCGATATTGTGATGAATATTTGTGAAACAGTGAGAAAATAATCGCATATAATCGTATTTTGACACAACGTTCAACAGCTGTTTGTTTACGTCATTTTAAGGTACTCAATTATCTCTATGATATTATATGCGTTAAGTCATACAAGTGATATGAGTATAAAATACGAGAATTTAAATCTAAGTGAAATTGCTACATGATGAAAAGTGATAATATGACAATATTTTGACAAACAATATTTGTTAGGTCCTATGAAAATGTTCATTTGTTACATAATATTCATATTACTTGTCACTGGATACGTTGGTAATGATATACACCACGAAATATATACATTTCTATTAGACCTGCTTCTACCAACCCCCTCCCCAAATTGTAATACTTTGACTCCACTGGCTATGTTATACATGATAATTATCTATATGACTTATTCCTATGATTTCAACGTACAGACAAAATGTAATGTTTCTCTTTTTTGTTTGTTTGAGACAGAACAGTGAAATGAATTGTAAGCCCTGTACTCCTCACTATCAATATTGGAATTTCACTAATAATATCTCATTGCCGGCTAAAATTTTTAGCCGTTGTGTGGACCATCATAATTACAGTACACTGAACAGTTTCAACACGTAATATGGAAGAATGAGTAGGACAATGCAGAGAGCATCATAATTTTAACCAAGCATTCATTAAGACATAACACAAAAACATCATTTGACTTCTCTGACAACGAATACATTAACAAAAACAAAATATACAATAAAGTCAAGAGGTCATCTGTTATCTTGAATGATACGTTGTCCTTTATAGTTCATTTTCATAGTTGCACGTAAATTAACATTTAACACTCATTTAGCTATTTATTCATAAATTATTAACGTAATGTATTATTTATTACAGCACAGCAAAGATGTGTAACATGTGTTTTTAAAGATTTTGAATGTTTTATTTCGTACTGTTTTCTGTATGTTTGTAATAAAATTTTGTAAGTAAAAGTGACATTTTAATCAAACAAATTACGTAATTCTGTCACCGACTGAGGGTGTCACAATAAATTTTGAGTAATGACTCTAATCACAGAATCCTGTTAAGTTTGTATTCTTTTTAAGTTGTTTTTTATATGAGAATTGTGTGTGTTCTTTGATCTTCGATGTGATAATATAACTTAAATATAGATTCTGTTCGAAATATATTTTAAAGTACGTGTCTAGTTTGGATTTAATTGGTACTGGTGTCTGATTAATAAGTTTTCTGCCGAATTTAATGTTAGTTCATATCGGTTCATGAAGAAAAATATATGAAATAAAATCTGTTAAATCTTAAAAACAAAACATCTATGAAATAAACTAAATATGTATCTCATTAATATATAAAATCTTTGTGTAACATCGGAGTCTGTAGTAATAAGATATACTTGCATATGCAGAAAATTAATATCAGGTTCAATGAGGTTAAAAACAAAAAAAGACACCACTTGCTACACTCTTATCTGTCCTCATTTGAATAAACTAAATTGCATTTAATGAGACGTGGAAAATAATATGACCCAGATATAAAATTTACCTTAATTTTACCCAATTTTGCGATGTTTACTTAAACTCTTCGATGGAAACACGTGTCGATATTTTAAAATAACAGTTTTACTTGTAATCCCGTTTCATAAATCGGTTTGTGGTAATAGCAGGCCTATTCAGTAAACATAGGTTAGTTCACGTGATACTGAAATTCGTTCTGACTGAGCAAGAAGGCACTGGAACGGTTGCATGAAAACCAGGTTAGCGCGGTGTGGGCCCTCTTCACAGTCTGTGCACAATGTTATTGCGGGTAGGAGAAGTTTTATTTTACTCGTGGCATTTTGATACATAAGTGTTCGTGTTATTACTTAATGGACGGATGGAGGTGTGAACTGCATTCAACTGTGTAATGATAAGGTCCGATGACTTATCTTAGTGAACACGGTAATGAACAATATGATTCCATAAAAGACGAACTAATCAATGCAGGCCCTGAACAATGGAGTTATAATAGCTACTTAAGAGATCTAAGAGAGTCATTTTCTTAAATTATGTTAATATATTTCAAAATGAATACTTGTAACTATCTAACTGATTAACTCACTTCTTGGGTAAGTCTCGAGAAACTGATATTCGCTCAAGTAGTGAAAATATTTCTCGAGTTTAGTGGAACCCAAAGATTTACAACCGTGCCACAGGATCTCGCCACCCGTCTCTATACAGAGTCAGTTAAATCCATTCCACGTCATTACATATATTTTTGTCAGATCCGTTTTAATATTATCATTCCATCTACTCTTAGGTCTTCATTTAAGCTTTCCAACCAAAATTTCAAAATTATAAATATTTTAATTGTTCTGACAAAGTCTACGAGGTAATAATTTAAAATATTAAAGTAAAGTCTAATTAAAATAATAAAACATAATTAAATACGCTTAAATAAGTAACCACCAAATTATTCATATAGGTAATTTAGTAACTGTATTAAAAGGGACTTAATTAAACACCTTATAGTCATTCAGCTGATGAAGATATGACGTTTTCGTATACCCTGAAGAACAATAACCGCTGGAAAGAAAGTTTTCATTCTAGTTTATTTGAATTAGTTGAATCAAATTAACAATACATTTTTCCAAAACCTATTTAATATCATAGTCACTTCTCTACTCTAGCCTATCAATTAACCTTTTCAAATAAAGTTTTACAATTAGAATAAATGTGTTATTAATGCTATCCTAATTCACATTACATGACCACTCCATCTCATCAATACTAATTTATTTACCTTAGAGACCAACAAGGTTAGCCCTACCTGAAAAATACAGATAACGCAACATTTTTAAATCTTCATGTAGGCCGAAATGTCTGTGTGCTTGTTACATTTTTTTAATTTTTATGTTCAAATATTTTCCCGAGCATTTTTTTTTCCAAAAAACCCTCTCCAAACTAAATGATGTTTGAGAAACCTTTTACTCTGAGTCAGTACACGGAAATGATAGTAGACATTTCATTATTATGAAGTGATGGGATACAACTGCAAACATTGGGGTTCTAATTATCACATATTGACATCTTAGATACTCGCGGTGGCGATTAAGAAAATGTCTGTCTTCTGGGTTGTTGCGCCGTAGTCTGCTAGAAATTTGCCGACATTTGAGAGGTACTTGCTGCCTCCATCATCAGATCGATCGCCAGACTGCACGGCGCAACAGCACAGAAAATATCTGTCTATAAGGACACGGTAAAAAGTAGGATAATATCTGGACGTGAGAGAGGAGAAACATATTTGAGGATTTTCATAAGTAATAGTTTTCAAAAAATACTATCAGATTGTGGAAATCGAAAGGGTTGCGATAGCCAGGACATGAAATTTTTTTACAAAATTATATTCGAAAATTCTGAAGTAAATGAACTGATTGGGTTACTTATCTATACTTGGGAGGATAATATTAATTTTATTTTTTTGTAAATAAAATGTGAGACTGCTGATTGGATTAATTTGTGTGAAGAATGTTTACAGTGTCGCGCCAAACCATCATTGATCATAAAATTTGGGACCTTATTGAATATCTGAGCAAACTTAGCCTTCTCAAGAATTAATCTACTCCATCAATTTTGTTCAATGTTGCGGCTGGAATTCCAGGAGACCATTGCGTCATTATTTTGTAGGGTTGTGGCCATTGTTTTTCTTCTATACACGTTTTGTTCTGAAACAATGAATCATTGAGGCAACTCGTACGACTGATTAGTCTCGGCTGCATTGCAAGGCGCAGGACCACTGCCTGTGTAACAGAAGAAGTCGATATAATTCATGGTCCTATCAGTATCCAAACCCATAATCCCACAACTTCCGAGACCTTTACCTTCTCATAATTAGAAGTCAGGCTATTTAAGAAATTAACATCACAGGATCACAATATCTGAATTGTGGACCGTCACATAATGAGGTGTAACATTGTGGGCTGGATTCTTGTGTCTCAAGATAAAATCCACTGGCTATCTCTTGTAACCATGCTATTAAACCATCCGGTTCCAAAAAATACTGGGCATTTCTCCAACAGAAGAACGACTGTCAGCTTATCGAATAGGACCCTGTCCCATCGTTTTGTTGATTCTTGGTGCTCAACATTAAATGCTGCATGTTGTAACTACAGCACGTTAAATTTGACCGACTCAGCGTAACATTTATTAACGTGGCAACATTTTAATTCGTTCCAGTTTTTGTAAAGAGAAATTATCCTAAATTTGTAGATATTTTTCGTTTTTCAAAATAATACAATTTTGTTCTGAAATTTGTGGGCATCTATGTGTTTGCCTATCACAGCAGATGCGCTTATTATGGGATCATGTATTCGAGTCCCACTTAAGTCATGAATATTTGTCTTCGTCTTTCTGTCTTGTGCTGGCCTTGCAACTCTTCCAAATCTGTAAATAGCTTTAAAAACCTTCCTTATGTAAAGCGGTCAACGTCATTTGAGGACTATATTTGTGTTTAACTGCATATAAGATTTAGCATGTCTACATTTTTGACTTCATATTCTAAAGATAAGTTTAAATGGTGACAAATCATCTCATTTTGCAAAGGATTCAGAGAAGAAACTAAGTCATGGATTTAAATAATGCAATCGACAGTTGCAATTCTGACACAGGACAGAACCTATGAGTCTCAAGTTTCGCTATTGCAAGATAGAATCCTGGGTATTTATAAACTAAAGTAACAGTTGTATATGTTCACGCATATAGAGGCCAAGCGAGAATTGCTGGAACATGCGCAAAGGACTGATTTTGGTAGTATGAGATGGACCCGTCCGAGCACGCGCTAGAGGGGTGTCAGCTTCAGTTGGTTTGTGGCTCTAGCTGTATTTAGATCGGTACGTCACCGCGACCCCCACTACTACTGAACTCCCCTCTCTCGGCTTACACATCGCGCATTTAGGTGCCACCAATACTCGCGCGACCTCTACATGAGTGTGTGGGTATAATTTACATTCTTTTCCGATTTCAATTGAGGTGATCAGATCTCGGAGCACGAGATTGAATAGATAAGCACCGCGTATGAGGTAAATAAGGAACGTGTACAGACTTTTGTTATAAAGAACTGAAAGGAATAGAAAGATAAGCTTACACGCCAGGATTATTTTAAGACGACACTAAAAATGTGTGGTTTGCGGATGTATGTTGAGGGAGACGTGCAGGGTTGTTAAAATAAGGCAATTGACCTTCCGGTCCCGTAACACATGTGGAATATTTTGTGTAGTAGAACAACTGCTTGGCTCTCAAGAAGAATCTGCTTCATAAATTTACATAAAGTTAAGATATGAAGATATGGCCTGCCCTATATAAGACTTTCAAAAACACGCAATCACTTCATGTTTCTTTGAAAATGGGAAGTACAATGTTTTCCGAAATGCTAGACGATTTTTAATATTTGATGCGTGTCAACACCTGAAAGACGGAGTTGTTCATTGAACTCAAGCCTCAAAAATGTAAGGAGAAGAATAATCAAATCTCTTAGACGCATTCTTAGCAGCGGTTTGAGTTGAACCTCCTTCTCGTCAGTGCCTTAGTGATGTGATCAGTTTCTTGGACTGGTAACGTATTGGAAGACGCAATTCCTTAACGAATCCAATTTCGAGCGACTTTCGTATTTATACAAATAAGATTGTCCTCTTTAAAAATAATTATAGACAGTTGTTTTTATCATAATCATTTGAAATCAAGAACACGTGTTTCGCTTAGCGCGGACTCAAATCCAGTTATGCACTTCATTTTTAACCGGAAAAGGGAACTAGGTCTAATTTGTTTCCTCTAAAGTGTGAATGTCACGCTATTCTTTTACACTTTATGACTTTCCTATGTGAAAGTAAGACAAATGAAAAAAAATAACTGTTTGGAAAGAACGCTGATTAAAATATGTATCTAAATTATTACACAGTGTATTAATATTAATGCATGCAGAAGGGATTCAAATACCTTCTGCCTAAATTTCCCGTTCTGGTAACGCTCTGCACTAATAGGCCCGTTCTAGACGTTCCCAAATGTCAGCCTTGTTGTCATGTACCAAAATTGCGACTCGTTTGTCTAAACGGAGAGGATCGTTGGTTCTCATCTCTCTGAGTATTTGAAAAATGTCTTCTATAAGATCTGACATACTACAAACATTAATGACATCGATAATTTAAGAGTATTTAGTACTGCATAAACTCTGTTTAATTTTGCACATAAAGAGAGCATATACATTGTCTTTGTCTCAAAACGATATACATTCTTTAAAAAGCAATCTGTTAAGTAAAATGCTTAAAAGTAACGTAACTTTAGTAATTACAGAAGAGTCATACATTGAAAATGAGAAATACTTATCAAACAAATACATTCCAATTATCGTGGTTATAGTTTGTTATTCAGATCGAAAAATGAGTAGGCCCCTTTAATATTTCATATTAATTAACGTCAACATTTTATAATTTAACTTTCGTGAAGCTAGGAATTAGGGCATAAAGAAAGTAAACTATATTTATGCCGCTGTTACACTGAAGACTCTTGTAACCGCAATAATTACTCCTCCCCACACGAGCATACTCACACTCGAGATTAGCAGTCAAGCAATAATCAAAATACCCTCTTTACCTTTCAATCTGGAACGCTCCCAATATGTGATGTGGTTTCCCCCATCTTCCTTTTGATATTCGTCGCTTTGCTACGCTCTGAAACCTCGTTTTCTTCTCCTTTGATTCGAAATCCCTTCACTTGTTACCACAGCCTGGCCATATTAATACGTACTGACTTCGGATTATGGACAACACTTCTACGAGAACGTTCATTCAGTGAGTACAATACAGTTTAGAGATAAAATATTAAAATAATTGTGACTACAGTGTTCATAGGACGTGCGTTGTCTAATTCTTTAGAATCATCGAGTGAACGTCTTGAAGTCTTCAAGATGCGTCTTCTACCTATGACGAATCTTATTTATTTTGTTTTTGTGTTAAATTTGGTTCACAACAGCGTTCTGGCGTTCAGTACAGTTACCAATAGTTCTGAAGAAAGTGTTACAGATAATTTTTCATCGGGATTAAATGTTGTATTTCGTGCATATGAAGAATGTAACAGAGTCACATTTGGAGAGATTCTTACGTGCCTCAAGTTAAGAGCACTTAAATTAGCGGATCGGGTATTAAAATCTGACACTGTTCAGGTGATTGATGGAATTAACATTGTAAAGTCCTTCTCAAAGGATGTTGACAGGAATGGCCGCAGGTTAAACTTTAAACCTCTAACAGAAGTTAATGAAGCAGTTCTGCCAACTGATCCACAACAGAAACAAGATAAATTGAATGAGATGCTTGTTGAGAGAGTGGCAAGATTCTTCCGGACACATTCGGTTAAATTTGACTTACCTCGATTTGTGGAGGAATCCAAGCATCTCCTTGATGGCTACACAACATCAGAAGGTAAGCTTCTTGCTTTGGAATTTATTAACATATTTATCTTAAGCATTGACAGAAATTACTATGTAGACTTATACATTTAAACTTTACTTTGTAATGCGAAATCAGAAACTCAAAAAAAAAAAGACATTTAAATTGAATGGGACACACCGGCTTCTGATCTATTAGGCGAAGACATAAATATTATTAAAATAAACACAGAAGCCCTATAATGTGCTAGTAAGAAATTTGGTCTAGAAATAAAAGCAGAGAAGACTAAGTGTATTTTCATTTCTCGTCACCAAACTACAGAACAAAGTCACTGTAGGAAGGTAGCTAATAAATCCTCTGAATGTGCGTCAAAGTTAAAATATTTTGGATGGACAGTAACAAATCAAAATTAAATTCACGATGACATTAAGTGTAGACTAAGTCTGGAGAATGCTGGCTACCATGCAGTTCAGAAACTTTTGTTTTCCTGCCTGCAATCTTAAAACGTAAGAAGTAAAATAATACAAAACTGTAATATTACTTGTTGTTTTGTATGGGCTTGAAATTTGGTCTCTTGTTTTGAGGATGTTTGAGCGCGGGTTGCTTAGGAAAACAGTTAGACCTAATAGGGGTGAAGTTACCGGAGAATGAAGTAAATTGCTCTATAATTTGTACTCTTCGCTAAGAATGATTAGGATGAATGGAGGATGACATGGGTGGGGCACGTAGCATGAATGGGGAAGACGTGAAGTTTGAGCAGCAACTGAGACCACTCAGAAGACCCAAAATAATGTTAAACTGTATTATAGGAAAATCGGATAAAACTTGTGCAATGAACACCTCAACTATTTTAAAAAATAAAAACAGATGCCATTTACTTTGTGTTTCAGGTCGTCGTAAGAAGAACAGGTTTGGCCTTCTTATGCTCGGAGGGCTGTTTAAGGGTGGAATGTTCGCACTAGGGTTAAACGGACTTGGCATTCTGGCTGGCAAAGCGTTGCTTGTAGCCAAAATTGCCCTCGTTCTCTCTGCTGTAGTTGGCCTCAGCAGTTTACTGAGCTCAGGACACAAGGAAGAGAAAACCACGTACGAAATCGTCGAAGACCCTCATGTGTCTCACGCGTACACTTATTCCAGTGGCCATATTGATGGAGGTCACGGCCATTTTGATTCTGGCGACCAAGGTCACTACAGGAAGAGTTTGAAGATTCCAGGCGCTGCGATGTTGGCCTACAGAGGACAGCGCCAGGGACAGAACCCATGATCCTTTGATAAAGGGTCTGTGTAGTGTTTAGCATTTAGCTGAAAAGGTTCCAGGAGAATGCATTAAGATATCGTTTTTGAAGAAACTGGTGCAATGATTCCTAGTTTAATCCTCTGCGTATTAGTCTATAGAGAGCCACAACAACAAAAAATTAAGCTTCTTAATTTAGATTTAAATAAAATGTAATTAATTAATTAATTTCACTTGATCAAAAACAAAATTTTATATTTTACGCAATTGCTAGGGGAATTGTTTACAACTAAGTCTAGGAGCAGATGAGAGATGTCAGGCTTGTTAATTACGGAGGATCTGCACACGTTTTGTTTTGTCGTCGATATAAGAGAATTTGGTGCTGTAAGGGTTGACTTAACAGATTCAATTAATGTAGGCTATCTCGTTAATAAGAACGCGTTAATCGATTAATAATATTAATAGTAATAATAATATAGTTCGTGGTCCGATCCAGAACTATGTCAATAACTATACCTGTTTCTACACGTCACAAATGTTACATTTTAAAAGAGAATTGCACTGTACATATGCCTATATATTTAATATTTATTTTACATATAAGTAATTATGTAAACATTAATTTATATGTGAATATCATTAATACAATATTGTTGTAACATGAACACAATGAATATCTCGGTAAGAATATATTACGTATAAGTTCATAAAAATGCCAATCACCAAATACTCTGTAATATTGATAATATCATTTTATGCATAGACCTATTATTATCAATGTTTTATACAATAGGGTACTATCTGTGAATAATTTATAAAGTGGTTCATAATGATAAACGTGGTTTTGGATTAGTACCAACCACACTTACACACAACGTTTACGTGCCAAGAGAAATTAATTACAAAATTAGTTTGTATTACACGAGTAAACAATTTTAATCGGCGTTAGCATAATTTTTAAGTTATAAAATCCTGTTTATAAATGTATTATAAAGGTAGTTAATAACTATCTCCTTTAATTTAATTTAATTTACTTGTTATTAAGTCTATAGATGATATTAATTTATCTTACAATCTCTGTTTTATGTTTTGTTGAAATAAAATGAAATTATGTTATAAAACTCTAAGTGTTTTTACTGTGCACTAAATCAGATCGCTGACTATCCTGTCTGAGTTATTTTAATGGTTTCCTAACGCGGAGAAACTACCGCAAATAGATTGTTTCCTTACTCACAAAGAAGCAAGCTGGTATTCGCTCGTAACCTCCAGCACAACCGAACGAAACCCGGTGATACCTGTGGTAGACCAACGTCTCTGAGTTAAGAAAGATCAGACGACCCTACTGTCCAACAAACCCTGTTTTAATCTATGTGTATGCATATTTTGTATCAGAAACTAATGACAAGTATCGATTACATTTTCTATTCGGAGAATTAATTTTGTTTATCAGCCTTCGACATTTGAGATATGAGTGGTTGGCACTAACTGTAATTAACAAATGGAATTTAATTCTTTTAAATATTCTATTCATGCTTATCTACGCAACAAACGTAAACGCGGTAATAAACTTTTATTCTAGAAAGATTGTTCTAGCACCGTTTTATGTAGGCCTAGATTTGTCGTTCATAAATTCTTCGAAATCAGTCACGTGGTTTGAGAGATGTGGTCCTACTCTGACAATCGACAAACAGATTATGTTTCAACTTTATGCAAAATTTCTAATAAGTGTACATCGGTTTAGGGTTAGCTCGGTCAGTGTTGTGTGGGACAGGGGTTCGATCCTTTGTAGGAGCAAGAGGTTTTTCTCTCAGCCTCTGGGTCCAGACCGGCGTCTTTGGGGCCACCCAGTTTTCTGTCCAATTGGAGTCGACGGTCCCTTTTCCGGAAATAAAACGCGGCCGGACTTTGACCACGTATAGAAGCTCAATGTACTTCGCCCCACAAACGTCTGCAGGACAAGATTACTTAGCCCTAATAACATTGATTTGTGTAAGTAATTTATTTCCTTCTTATTTAATACCTTAAATTGTTTTACCATTGTATTTCTGAGAATTCTTTTTCTCAAGTTCTTGAAATTCATGATCTTGTCTGAAACTGTTTGCTGAACGTAAAGCATAGCTTATTAGGCTCAAATATAAATAAAACTTTACGTTACGCGTAAAAGACGTGGGTCTATCAGTTTCACTGTGAAGTAGGACGTTGCTGCTGTGGGCCGCGGATCTAGACAACACCTGAAGACAAGTTTCCTTCGGGTTATTTAACTTTGTTGTATGAACCGTATGAATATAAAATATAATAATTTATGGCCAGTGACACGGAATGCGACAGAAGAGGGCGTCGTATACTTCAGTGCACTCCTTGGTCACGTTCACGGAAGTAAGAGTGGCCGATTTCGACACTCACCCCCTGGCCTACGTTTGGAAGAGAAGCCAGACCTCAGGATGGTCTAGCTGCCATCTAGAGACTTCTGCTCCGGAACAGACTTCTCCAGTCCGTTCCGGGTTACCGGATAACCTAAGAGAGATGGTTCGTGGTGTTTGTCAGTCCTTCACTCCAGAAAAATACCTTTAAATAGGTGACAGTGGTTTTATTTTAGTCGTTCGGTGAAGGGACTGTGACAGCGATTAGTTTATTGTGACTGCCAATATTACGCTGGACAATGTTTGTTGTCTGGCGTGTATTTGGTTTGGCATGTCGTTTCTTTAATATATTCTCATATTCATTTAAGCTTTTATCGTCGTAGGTTGACATATTGGCCGAATATATTTTTATTTTTACGTTAACAGCAAACCTTTCGAGTACTAAGTTAGCATTAATTTATATGTGAATATCATTAATACAATATTGTTGTAACATGAACACAATGAATATCTCGGTAAGAATATATTACGTATAAGTTCATAAAAATGCCAATCACCAAATACTCTGTAATATTGATAATATCATTTTATGCATAGACCTATTATTATCAATGTTTTATACAATAGGGTACTATCTGTGAATAATTTATAAAGTGGTTCATAATGATAAACGTGGTTTTGGATTAGTACCAACCACACTTACACACAACGTTTACGTGCCAAGAGAAATTAATTACAAAATTAGTTTGTATTACACGAGTAAACAATTTTAATCGGCGTTAGCATAATTTTTAAGTTATAAAATCCTGTTTATAAATGTATTATAAAGGTAGTTAATAACTATCTCCTTTAATTTAATTTAATTTACTTGTTATTAAGTCTATAGATGATATTAATTTATCTTACAATCTCTGTTTTATGTTTTGTTGAAATAAAATGAAATTATGTTATAAAACTCTAAGTGTTTTTACTGTGCACTAAATCAGATCGCTGACTATCCTGTCTGAGTTATTTTAATGGTTTCCTAACGCGGAGAAACTACCGCAAATAGATTGTTTCCTTACTCACAAAGAAGCAAGCTGGTATTCGCTCGTAACCTCCAGCACAACCGAACGAAACCCGGTGATACCTGTGGTAGACCAACGTCTCTGAGTTAAGAAAGATCAGACGACCCTACTGTCCAACAAACCCTGTTTTAATCTATGTGTATGCATATTTTGTATCAGAAACTAATGACAAGTATCGATTACATTTTCTATTCGGAGAATTAATTTTGTTTATCAGCCTTCGACATTTGAGATATGAGTGGTTGGCACTAACTGTAATTAACAAATGGAATTTAATTCTTTTAAATATTCTATTCATGCTTATCTACGCAACAAACGTAAACGCGGTAATAAACTTTTATTCTAGAAAGATTGTTCTAGCACCGTTTTATGTAGGCCTAGATTTGTCGTTCATAAATTCTTCGAAATCAGTCACGTGGTTTGAGAGATGTGGTCCTACTCTGACAATCGACAAACAGATTATGTTTCAACTTTATGCAAAATTTCTAATAAGTGTACATCGGTTTAGGGTTAGCTCGGTCAGTGTTGTGTGGGACAGGGGTTCGATCCTTTGTAGGAGCAAGAGGTTTTTCTCTCAGCCTCTGGGTCCAGACCGGCGTCTTTGGGGCCACCCAGTTTTCTGTCCAATTGGAGTCGACGGTCCCTTTTCCGGAAATAAAACGCGGCCGGACTTTGACCACGTATAGAAGCTCAATGTACTTCGCCCCACAAACGTCTGCAGGACAAGATTACTTAGCCCTAATAACATTGATTTGTGTAAGTAATTTATTTCCTTCTTATTTAATACCTTAAATTGTTTTACCATTGTATTTCTGAGAATTCTTTTTCTCAAGTTCTTGAAATTCATGATCTTGTCTGAAACTGTTTGCTGAACGTAAAGCATAGCTTATTAGGCTCAAATATAAATAAAACTTTACGTTACGCGTAAAAGACGTGGGTCTATCAGTTTCACTGTGAAGTAGGACGTTGCTGCTGTGGGCCGCGGATCTAGACAACACCTGAAGACAAGTTTCCTTCGGGTTATTTAACTTTGTTGTATGAACCGTATGAATATAAAATATAATAATTTATGGCCAGTGACACGGAATGCGACAGAAGAGGGCGTCGTATACTTCAGTGCACTCCTTGGTCACGTTCACGGAAGTAAGAGTGGCCGATTTCGACACTCACCCCCTGGCCTACGTTTGGAAGAGAAGCCAGACCTCAGGATGGTCTAGCTGCCATCTAGAGACTTCTGCTCCGGAACAGACTTCTCCAGTCCGTTCCGGGTTACCGGATAACCTAAGAGAGATGGTTCGTGGTGTTTGTCAGTCCTTCACTCCAGAAAAATACCTTTAAATAGGTGACAGTGGTTTTATTTTAGTCGTTCGGTGAAGGGACTGTGACAGCGATTAGTTTATTGTGACTGCCAATATTACGCTGGACAATGTTTGTTGTCTGGCGTGTATTTGGTTTGGCATGTCGTTTCTTTAATATATTCTCATATTCATTTAAGCTTTTATCGTCGTAGGTTGACATATTGGCCGAATATATTTTTATTTTTACGTTAACAGCAAACCTTTCGAGTACTAAGTTAGTAAGACATAGTCCTTCAGCCAATTGCGTCATCGCTGCAAATGACGTATGTAAATCTTTGAACGTATTTAGCATGAAATTGTTCTCCCATGAGGGCACGTTCTCAATAAGGGAAATGATCTAGATAAGTTGTCTTGATAGATGATCTAGCTTCGTTATCTGTTTGTTTTTGTATTTCTTTAACGTTTTACATTTATATTAGTGTTCCCTAGGTGGATTATTTTTTTTATTTATATTTATTCATCTATTTTGCTCTGTGTTAATATTGTTTCTATTTTGGGTTTGCCTGTACTTGGCAGTTATATTTAAAACTGTACATGTATAAGTTTAGTTAATCCGTTTGTGTAATATTATCCATTATTATTTCACTATTATTGTATGTATTATCTGTGTTTGCCTGTTATTGGCTTCTTGCTGTTGGCAAACACGTAAATAAATTAATTGAACTGAATTAATTGAATTGAATTATACGACTAGAGCGGCACTGCTCAATACAAACTGGATGAACGTCTTGGAAGCTATGTCATTTTGCAGGGTTGTGAGTCTGTAACCCAACATTTTATGGTAATCATCCCATCTTATTCGTTGTATGTATAATATATGCAGATAAAACAACGTCTTAGAGTCGACAGTGGTTTGTGACGTCATGTGTTCTTGTAGACAGCCTTTTTATTTGGGGGTTGTTTAATGCTACGCGGGCTGTATTAACTATCTATGGCATTGTCGAGGGCCGTATAAAAAGTGTAATAATGTCGTGGAGATGAGTGGTACTGTTTTCCTTTAACTTAAAAAGTGTATAACGGGTATTGCACATTTTTAGTTGTTGCCAACGTTTCAGACTTATACTTACCTCCATATTTTACCCTGCAATCTGTACCATCTCATGCATGTTACATAAATTTCCCGGCTTAATTTATCATCCGGGTAGCGAGATCTCGCGTACGAGAAGCGGCTTCAGTGCAGCGAGAGCTGTTATAACAACTTTTGGCTAAGTGTGACAGGAGGCTGTAAGTGTCAAACGCGCAGGTAGCTAACGGGCGTGCAAAAAGATTAGTTTCATCAGCCGTGACCAGCCAACTGGTTGACTCCGGACTTGGGGACGTGTGGCAGATAATTCAGTCAATGACTCCTCCGAGTACACAGGGGATGGCAGTTTCAGAGAAATACACGAGTCAAACCCACCGGCTTTATGGATGAGGATGAGAGAATGTCTGGACGTAGACGGTGAAGACGATGAACCAACTATCAAGACCTGTCACCGGAAAACTTTCACCTCAACACTGTTGTAACCAGATAAAACAAATACTTGCAACGAAGACCTTCTGGCAATGAGAATTCAGTTACCATCCAATTCCGATATTTTGTGCAGCAGTTACTAAAATCTGCAACTATTAGTACCTAAGGCCAGGTTGAAGGAAAGAGAGGACTAGGAAGAAGATTGATACAGCTAACCGACGACCTTAAACAAGGAAAGAAGATGACGTTCCAGGAATTAAAGCGAGAAGCCGAGAATAGGGACAACTGGAGAGCTCTTTTTGGGCAGAGCAATGGACCTGTCGTAAGACAGAACACTTAATAATAAAAACCATTACTGGGTGAAGAGCTGGGCTTCGCAAATTGAATGTCGTCGCAATGAACTTCGTCGAATTTTATCCAGCTCCCTGTTGCTTCCACCGTCAGAGCCCAAAATTTCTTTGCAACACCCAGCAGCCTCGTAGAGGCCTACTAAAGCATTAGAAGGGAAACAGGGGTCACAAGTTCCTCCCACAAGTTCTTGGTCCAAGTGATAGAAAGAAGGAGTAACTTCAAGTTTGTGTTAACAGACCGAAACTGGCATTTCCGTAACGCCTAGAAACTTAAACCATGTGATTATTTCATGGAGATGGGCGCAACGAAAACAGTCATCATACGATCTGCTAGAGCAACTTTTAACTTCGACCTCCAAATACATGAGTGCCTTCAACCCTTTAAAACTCAGTGGTAACTCTATGAACCACCGGCATTAACATCAGTAGCTGGGAATTTTTTTCGAAGAGTTTTGTTTATGTGTTCAGCATAATTCTCAGAATAAGCAGTGATTAATTTCCTAAACATCATTAACCATTAATAAATTGTTTTTATAATAAAGCCTTGTTGTTTTCTTTGCAGTAGGAATCGAATTTTAAATATTATTAAAGGATATTCGGCTTCAAAAACTTGTATATGTTACCACAGTAACATCTTAACTCTAATGCTATCCTTACAAGAATGACAGCTTATAACCATAACAAATAAATCGTGATTAGGAATCTTTTGCACCATAAATTTGGTCAGGGTTTGTAAAAATATTTATTTTCAAGTGTTTAGCAGTGTATTGTAAACGAATATTCAAAAATTAAATATAAGATTACATATACGATACTTAAATTGATATACATGGTAATATTCTTATAAATAAGTTTCGTGCAGTTATTTACAAAAGCAATAATTTGTATTCATATATAATAGTTTCCTTACAAAACTAGAGACACTTTCAAAATAATCGAAGATTCGTTATTATCGCAACAGAAAATGTAGGATACAATATTTTCACGTGTATCGTAAATTACTTCCAGCCACACACTACACATTCTCTACTGCTACTGAGGTTTGAGATATATTTATGTCCAGAGAATTATTCAGTCAGAACAGTAACCGTCTAGTAGTCAAAGGTTCTTTGCCTTAGTGCGTTATTTAGGTGAAAATAATTTGCATTAAACGAAGAATGTCTTTATAAAAGTAACAAGTTATTTTGTCTTGTATATTAGCCTCCATTCGTGTCTTAATTTTATATCCAGTACGTAATTCGTCCTCTGTATTATTTTGATTTGTGTCGGAGAGCGAGTTTTTAGAGTCCATTATGATAAGTTGTGTAAACCATTTTTAACTGCGATCGTCTATTCTTCTACTTAACTAAAATAAAAATATTTATTTCCTTATAGTTCTGCCTTTATGTTTGTCTAATCTGGTATATCCTTTCATACTTTGCAAAATATTAATTTTTTTATCTGAATTTTATTAATATTATTGTTTCATCTTACATATAAATAGTTGGAAGCTTGATTGCTTTTAGAAATAGAATTTTCTCTGTTTCTACTTTGTCACCGTATTGCCCATATTATTCCTTAATCATGCAATATCGGTATTTTAATTGTTAACTTAAGTGTATGTGATTCTCAGAAGATATCTACGAGTACTAATTTAGGAACACGTGGATAATACTCCTTAATTACAGATTCTGTATTAACTCTTAATATTACGGATATATATCCCATTAAAACATTCCGAATAATCTGGTATTTAATAACATAATAGAAAATAAACCCTTTTGAATTTAGGTTCTAACGATTGTCAGTCTTCCGTGCTCTACCGCCATGTAATATTGAAGGTATATAGATCGTTTCGGAGAAAAATATCACCTTCACCTTGAGGGCACTTCTGTCCTGAAGATAGAATCCACGTGTTTCTCCGAAGCATTGGTAACCACCTGCAAGTCTACACGGCGTCTTAATTCAAGAAGACCGTAATCTACAAAACCCGACGCTTTGATACTGAATCTATCATGAAGAACGAAGTCTCCACGTAGACCTACTGCATATCTAGAAACTTTGCGAAAAATTGTCATGTAAATATTCTCAAGCTCGCTAAAGCATTGAATTGAATTTTTATTGTCCTTATTACTAATTCGTATTGTCCAAAGTTTGTCGATTTTATGTATTGTGTCTGTAACTTTAGTCTCCGGCTGAAATTCTGTCAGTATTTTTGAGGAATGTGGAAGTTCGCGATGTTAGTTGTAATCGTCAAAGAAGTAATTTTCTTCTTCCCATAGAATGTAACACACAATACACGTACATTAAACATTACATTTAAATATAATTATGAGTGTAAAAATAAAATAATATCAGCTAATTTGGTAAGTGGCCAGAAATCTCACGTTACCGAATTATACTTCAGTCGCGATTAGGACGTTGAAATCGTAAATCAAATGAGATTTTTATACAAAATAGTACAGTTTATGTAAGGCTAAATGTAAAACTGAATATAATATCTAGTGATTTAAAAGCATAGCGCTGCTGGTTTTCAGTCTAATCGTGACTTGTAGGTCTACGTTACTTAATTTTAATAAGTATCAGTTTAATATGTGTTTTAACCCTTTGCACACTAAGACGGACGAAGGAAAAGGAGATTCTCACAAATAGTTATATATTTTTTGTTATGTAAATAAATATTTTAATATTTAATTTAATTTTGTAATTAAATAGCTAGTGTGGAACTGATTTTGTTGAAAATATACCCTTTGAGGCGCTATTTATTTATAATTTTTGTTCTTAAATAATTATTGTCCCATTCCGATTAATATTTAAAAAGCAACATGATTTTCTTCGTCTACGTATCTTACGTTTCGTAAGAATAAATAACGGTACATAAATGTCATTATTTTCAACATTTCTGTCACTTTAGGTGCAGAAAATAATAGTTGCGCTCCTATAAATTATTTTCACATTATTTAGACCTATTTATATACATAACAACTGTGTTGTTATTTGTTATTAAATTTCACATAAATGAATGAAAATGTCTACTTATGAGTCCTCATTTCCGAAAAGTATTGCTACGTTTTGATTAATTTGTAATCACGAGAATAGCAATCACTTTAATGACTTTTCTGTCAATTTATTATAAATGAATTGTCATATTTACAAATAATTACATTTAGTATATTTCACACGTCTACATAAATAATATTTGTTAAATAAATAAATTAATTAATTAAATTTCCCGTTAGTACATCTTATATATCTACTCACGGAGAGTTGCTACACCTCTACTTAATTCGCGCAGAAATGGTCTTAACACTTATTCAGTTGTCGCTTGCATTTTCTGTTTTGTGGGCTCGGTAAGCCATGTCATGGGCTAGTAAGGGGTCCGACGAGATGCCACGGCCTTGCCACATGCCATGTTCATGGCCCCCTGACGCGTAAACGACTTGTGGATGAGATTCGCCGCCTCCTGAACTTCCGAAAAGCTTCTTGAGTCCAACTATTGCTGAAAGGACAAGGGCGATTTTGGCCACAAGCAGCGCTTTGCCAGCAATTAGTGCAATTTTGCCCATGAACATCTGAGCCATCATCGCGGCCATAGCTGCTCCTGCAGCCAAGAGGTATCCGCCACCCTTCTTCCTCTTTCTGCCTGTGAACATAAGAACAGGAAGATAGTCGGTCAGTTGTGCGAGAGCCAGCTTTGAAAAACATTCATTTAAAATGGCAATGATTTTATTGCTACACGAGTCATAAAATTGTATAACAACAGAAAATACCTCTAATGTAATTTCAGCAGCTGAAATGTATTTTCATAGACGATTGAAGGACTTTCATTCCTGCAAAGTGATATCTTAAGCTGATTAGTTCCTACCCAAATTGTGTGTTCATCTCTTATGCTCCAATGCGTGAAAAATGTTCTTCTTATCTTTTTCCAAATGGTTTTTGCCATGATGTGCTCTTATCTACATTATAATTATTCTGGACATTGTTTTATCTTCATACCTTATTTTCCCAAATAAGACGTTTCGAAAACTGTATTTTCCGCCATCGAGTAGCAAGGGAGGGAGGATTTTATACAGAGCTAGTCTCAATTCCAGTGATCAGAAACTTCCTGATGACGGAAACAGATCCAGCTTTCGAAACGTCATATTTGAAAAATATGACGATGATTAATGTTCAAAATAATTGTCATGTTCGTGTCTACCTATCTCATTCCTCATTTAATCACTCAAATTCTTTTAGGAAAAGCAAAATGAAATATTTTACATTTTGCTACGTGAGTGAGTCGTCTCGGTCATTAGCCTCTACGAAGACCGTCTTACAACAGCAAGTGTATTTTTCGTTATATTTCTTTGTTTTATTCTTAATGGTATGCCTGTGGTTACATACTTCATTAAATATTTTTGGGGTAATCTTGGACAAGATTGGGGCCCTGTAGCAAATTTTGGAGCAAATGGAAATTACATATAAGATTATTGTCGAAAATCTTGAAGGCGAGAGACCGCTTGGGGGATCCAGATATTAGGATACCTAAAAGTCATTTAGAAATAGAATTTTAGGGTTTGGAGTAGATATAACTAGCTCATGATAAAGTCCACTGATGGATTTTTGGACACAGTAATTAAATACCCGATTCCATAAAATACTTCTTTTTTTTGGCTGACTGAGATCTACTAATTATGAGATTGTGACACAGTATGAGGGAATTAGAATTATGCCGTACCAAAAGCTGGAAAGAAATAAAGTATAGGCTTACTCATGTTTGTTTGCCAATTCAATGCACCCATTTATCACGATCAGTAATGTTATTTATCTCTCCCAGGTTTAATACATTAACGTCTCCATAAGCCATCTCTCTTAAGATCAAATTTCAGTCTTTGTTTCATCTAATGTTTGGCCTTAAATAACGCTTTTGCATAAATTTTTTTGTGCGAACTTGTAACTTTCTCTGTCCTAGCCACACGTTCATCCCAAAGTAGACATCTGGATTCCACGAACCTAACAGTAGGCGACCTGTATTCATAATAAACTCTCCTCTTTATGCAATAAACTGAATTGCTCAATTTCTTCTCCGTTGGGCGCAAATTAATTTTCTGTCCCGAGATTCAAGTATTTTTTTTTTCAGTTTTGGGTTCTAGAAATGCACTAGCATGATTTTTGTGAAGAAACCTCTTCAGAAACGTTCATTTTGTAGAATCAAAATGACACCAAATGATACCATTAAGGCGTGGTCTTAATTGAGTAGTCTGAAAGGATGAGATTTACGATATTGTCCAATAACAGGTTTTGGTATTAGCAGTGTTGAATAATTAATTCTGTTACCGCGTAGTTACTTAGTCAATTGTTTAGTTACCTTAACTATGTGTCTATTTTAGATTTTTCCTCCAATCTCAGGTTCACTGTATCCTAACTTTATATACTAAAGGAAAAACCCGTTAAAATACAACGAAAATGTCACTTGGATATCTTCACACTTCTAAATGTTGCCTAATGGTATCAGCTCTTGTAAAATTAAACATTCTGTCATCTAGTGTCATTTCTGAGAACATAACTAGGCATGCATAACATTCACATACAGTCAATCATAAAGCATGTACATATATATATATATATAGGTATCCCATATATGTATTATCTTATCCAAACATTACATAACCCCTTTGTAGCTTCTACCTGCAGTCTTTTGGATTTAAAGGATTCAACATCCACGAAATCATACCTCCTCTTCTCTTCCATTACTTAGTAATCTTTTCCTTCTCTTTACATCTTCTGGTTTTCGTATTAAGTACAAGAAATATGACACTGATATAAGAAAACACATAATTAAAAAAATAACTAACCTTCAAAAATATCTGCAGGAAAATTCAGTTGCAGTGTTCTGGACTGAAGGAATGAATTCAGCTTCTCCTGCAACAATTCATCCAGTCGTTCGCCCCGTTCTTCCGCTGACTTCGGTAAGGATTCATCGAGTTGTGTTTCAGACAACGGTTGCATAGATCTGCCCTGAGGACCTTCTTTATACGCTGGATCTCTGGCTAAAGAGATGTAATCGTTTATCATGAGTGGTATCTTCAATGACACCGCTCTGTCCATAAACGTCACCGCCTTCATCTTCAAACAAACGCTGACGTCTTGTGTTTTAGCACAGTCCACGAATAACCTGTACAGCAGCTTCCAATTACCATTGTCTTCAACTTCATTTATCGTCTCATCTGTTTCTGGTTTACTCTGACCCATCACTCCACACACAACGAACACAAGTAAAATGTAATATAATTTCATTTTATTACAATTAGAATTTGGTAAGAAACTGATGTTCTCTCGAAGACGTGTCTGAGGATTAAATACTGTATTTCATTCGTATCTCTCTTATATACGAATTTGAGGAGGGGGGGTCTGTATCTCTACGCACCTCATCACCGACACGGTTACCTACTGTTTGTTATACAGAGCATGGCATTATGGGTCGTGATTTTATTATACAGCCACAAAGGTGTGTTTTGTTATTAAGTTTGTGGTCTCGAAGCACTGGAATGGGTTTATGGAGCCTCATTAATTGGAATCGTGTTGCTATCAGTTTAACTGAGAGCAATTAAATACCGTTTATTATGCTCCTATGGCCGGAACATATAATTCACGACTCAGCTACAAAACCTACTTTTTAACACCTTGTTATCTACATATGTTGACATATTACTTTGAATTTCGGAACTGTACATATACGTTCAACATTAACCTTTAAAGCCAAGTACTATGTACCATCTACTTTAACAATCAGCAACTCTGGGTTTTGTAAATATGGATTTTGACTATTAAAAGCGGAAACACGGGTCATTTCCTTAAACAACATTAGCCAATTTATATTTCCGCAATATAAGGCCTTGGCGTTCGGTTTATGGCATGAAACAATGTTTATATTATCATCCTTTATAATTCATCAGACATAATCAATTTCTCATCTCGTTAGACACAGAGTAATCTTTTCAGTTGATGTAGTGTAGTTACAAGGGCAATGGTGTAAGGAAAGAATAGTCCACATCCTGAAGTCCAATCAGAGCTATATGTACCATTTATTTAAAATTCAAGAAATCTGCATTTGCTCAAGGTTGTATTTCTTGGTTTCGTATGACTCTCAGAATAAAGGTGAATATTTTTGTGAACAACACCAAGGAATTAATATTCGTAATGGAGGTGCACTGTGTAATATTTTATGTAGGGGCTGAATGTTCAACTACCCTATCTATGTGGTTTGCACTTGAGAGGGTTAGTAATGTGTTACAATTAGGCACAGGCTATAGGTTTGACAGTTTCTGAAGCAAAAGTTTTGGTGAAGTGGACGAATGATAGATGACTGTCTGGTATAGCACAAAACTAGTTAAGATAAAATTAGTTAATATTGGACTGAACATGTAGCACGCATGAGAAACATGAGAAATGCGTACAAAATGTTGATAATAAAACCTTAAAGAAAGGGATCACGATGATGGCTGTCTTCTGGGTTGTTGCGTCTTGTAGTCTGGTAGAAGGTTACTGACGTTTTAGAGGTCCTTGCTGCTTTCATCATTAGGGCGATCATCGCAGCGCAACAACCCAGTAGACAGCCATCTTCAGACTCATCGCACGGAGAAAACCTCGAATCCTACTGAAGAAGATCTTAGTTAGACGAAAGGAAAAGTTAATGTTAAAAATTACGTTGTCGAATCTCAGAGTGAACGATAGTAAATGCTTTAAATGACTTGATAAAGCGTATTATTCTCTTCTCAACTGAATTTCGTACCTTTGTCTGGAGCAGGAAGTTTTTTAATCTTCTTGCATGAAAAGTCACCGCGAATTTTAATTGCGTCTTCGTTAATTGTTCCTCACAGTGTCGTTTCGCTGTGCAGGTTGTTAATTGCGCCGTTAAATGGAATAGTTGTAGACAGGGATATAAACCGCTAGCTGCTTCACACAACAAGTAGACCACACACAGGACGAAATATGAGCCAGAACACGCCATCTGACACATTTCTGACCCATCTCCATCCAGAAATCTATTTAGTCCAGTACTGCTATTTCAAGATCTTCTCCGTCTCCTTCTTAATTATATTTCCATCGATTGGTATTGATATATCAATTAAGAGACAAGTTCCATTTCTATTTCGAATTATAATAATCATGTTTATTAATTGAAATAGTTTCGACTTTGTTTATTCCACAGAATAGTTATTTTGTTGACCTGAGAAGTCTCTACTGCCTTCGGGATGTGTTATAATTGTTGTTGTTGCTTTTAATATTGTTATTATTATTATTAATGCTCGGTATCTGACAGACGTATCGTATGTTGCCCGAAGATCCATTATGGGGTTAACAAATTCCTACGATTATACCCTGTCTGAGCAAAGTTTAAGTCAATCCTCATAACGATACTGTATTTATGTAAGATCAATTTTAATATTATCACGCCGTCTGCAGCTCTTTCCTCCACACAAACTCGTCCTTCGTGTTGTATGACCAATTTTTTTAAGGTAACTTTTTATAAGATTTACCGACTAGAATCTTATATGAAATTCTCCTTCATGACTTCTACATGTGTCAAATATCTTATCGTTCTTGTTTTAAGGAACCTGACGACATTCAGTGACGTGTACAAATATTAAAAGTTTTTCTTTTGTTGTTTTAGGAAGTCAACATAAAATTAAATTGTGCAGAACCACAGTTGTTAGAGGACAAATAAGTTATTATATTATTTTTTTATAATTACTTAAAGCCGTGTTGTATCTTTCCTTGTTCCTGATATTTCCATACATTTTTGTGTCATCCTTTACTTACCTTTTTAGAGAAAAACTATATTTTTTTCTGGAAATGGCATTAATTTTAAGTGGGAATGTGTCAGTGATGGCGGAGTGGTATTCTTCCCTTGTTTCATGACGTATTGCGACTCGATGCCTCAAACTGCCAATGTAACTTTTTCTCCCTTAAATGCATACAGTCCGAAATTTCCTAAAATACACAGGATTCAGCAGGGTTTTTTTTCGTTTTATTTTAATTGTTGGCTGATGCCTCGAAAAGTACTGAATCTACAGAAAAATTCTTTTATACATCGTGAATGAATAGGACTGTATCGAATTTTTAGGGTAGAATTTTAAGAAATGTCGGGCTAGGGACGTGTTTCAGGACGTCGGAGTTCCCAATCGGTTATGCATATTTTGAGTGGGGGGGGGGAGGGGGGGCTGAGAAAACACTAAAATTAACGTTCTTCGACGCTGCGTTCCGGTTTATGACAATTTCGCGCATTCCTTGTCTGCAGGTCGTACTGTGCACAAGCGATTCCTTCCACATCCTTGCCAACGCATCATTTATAATATTTATGTTATAAGAACGTGCGTAAAATGTGTAAATTATAGAATCGTTATTAGAAAATTAAAGAGACATCAGTAAATTTATGTACTTTGTAAAAATGACACATAAATACCGATTTATATACTTAACTGTATTTCTAATCGAAGTTCTTTGCGTAAATTTGCATATTATTAATGCTAAATAAATTTAGATATTCGCTACGTTTCAAGCCATGTGTTAGCATAATTTTAAGATGTGTCCGCTCAAACTGCCCAGTCTTCCAGCCAAAGCTGTTAAGAAAACATAAGCTAATATATTTCAAGGTTATATAACTTTTGTATTTAAACACTCCTCAGACATTTGTATGTACGATAGGGAATTAAAGATTACATAAATGTCCTGTCCTCCAGTGTCATGAATTCTATTCTAAGTTTTGTATTAGTCAGAAAAATGTTCCTAAATAAGGCAGTATGTATAACACACGTATATAAAAATGTATGTCTACAGTAGGAAAATCATCTTTTTCATTCTGGAATGAGGCTGAGATTCTAAAATATGAAAAGTAATTGCTTCTAGGTCTAATATGCTTACGACTACTTGCAATATTAGCGAGGAGGGTTGCTTTACCTGTGTGAACAACCAAGACATTTATTAGATTAAGAATTATATTTATTAAAACTTAAATTACATAAATATTTAAAATAAAATAAATTAACATAGACTTTAATAATACAAATTCACGTAATATTATCTCTTTTATGATCTACTTTCTACATTCCATTATTCTATGTAAATCTTCAAATAAATTAGTTAATAAATAACATATATGCTAAAATATAGATTTGAGATGAGGTATTACTACACATTTACTTAAACAATCCCCGAGATAACATCATTGTAAACAGTTATAAAAAACTGCAGCGTTAAACAGACCTTGTCACTCTTCAACCGAGTGCTTAATATTATCACGCATGTACTAGATCATATGAATACATATATATCTTATTCCAGTTCTGCTTATTAATATATATGACCCTATTTATGCACTGGATACCGGCCACGAAATTCTATGGATGTTTCTATTTAACACGTTAACATCCATGTTCTGAAGTTTCTGGTCACCGCATATTACTGTTAATATTTTATACCCACAGAAGGAAATTCCCGACGTTGCTCAGTGTCTAATAATTGATCTTATTGTATATGTTTTATTCTGTAGCTGGCTGTTAGAATAGAGAGCAGATGGAAAAACAACTTAGCCAGCATATAAGCTTACATAAAAGCACCTGTTTCATTGGCAAAGTTAACAGTCTACAAAATTTTTATGTTCCAGAGAGGTCTGAATGTGTTAATCTGTCAAGAAATTTGTATTTAAATATCACAGTAGTGCAAGATTCAGTGTATGGTACGATATTTTTATACGAAAATGTCAATTGTTTAAAATTTATGTTACTGTTCTATTTGTAAACATAATTTGATACATTTTTCGTGTACAGATTTAAGCTGATTAACACTGAAGTTATGTGGTTGGCAGATATAAAACGAAAACACGTAAATAGAAGTTTTTTTTTCAGTAGGTTCGTTTTAAAAACTGGGGGGTCTTCGTCTATAATTCTAATAAAGTAACTTATTAATTCTCATGGCGGAGAGTGCGAAGATAATTGTCTTCTGGGATGTTGCGCCATGTAGTCTGGTAGAAGTTTGCAGACGTTTCGGAGGTTCTTGCTACCTCATTCATTATAGCGATGCAGCATTAAACTCTGAAACGTCGGTAAACATCTGCAATACTACAAAACTCAACATTCCACTCAACGTTCGTCTTTTAACTTATTTATATTTAACTTTGCTGTTGTATTTTATTCTGGTTAATAATGCAGTAACAAATAAACTGCAGATAAATACAAGCATACCTCGGAGATATTGCGGGTTCGATTCCAGACCACCGCAATAAAGCGAGTCACACGAATTTTTTTGGTTTCCCCAGTGCATATGAAAGTTATGTTTACGCTATACTGTAGTCTGTTAGTGTGCAATAGCATTATGTTTAAAAAACATTATGCGAGAATTACCAAAATGTGACACAGAGACACGAAGTGAGCTCATGCTGTTGGAAAAATGACGCCGATAGACTTGCTCGACGCAGGGTTGCCACAAAACTTCGATTTGTAAAAACCGCAATATCTGGTATGTCTGTTTATAAATTCGTCATTAAAAAGCCACATACTGTTCACCACTCTTAATCTTCACAAGCCTCAACTTTCGAGACAAAAATACATTTTTTTATGAGATAAATAACAGTATAGCGTAAAATTCACTGAGTACATGCATTGTCGCAGGGCATAATTCTATCTTTATATGGGTTTCAAACTGAAATACAATTTAATATTGTTGTTACTACTCGGTAGTTAAATCTGCCATTACAAAACCATGCAACATTTATTTATATGTGATTAATGGATATAAAGAAATTAATCTAAAATTGTATGATCAAAAAGTATATCTCCAGATTCTATAAGCGTGTGTCATAAAGTTTAAAAGTGATTGAATAGTGTTATTCGTATTTAAAAAAACCTCAGTTAGAGAACGTATCTTAAAATTTGGTTCCTCTCGCCATCATAGTAGGTCATTCAAAGATTGGAGGTATTCATAAACCAAAAAATATATGAAATACTTAGTTTTAAACATTGCAAGTACGCAAAGTATCTATTCACTTTGAGGAACATGGTATATTACTTTAGGTATAAATGTACCAATAGTAGGTTTTAGCATCTGCAAGGAACATGGTACATTAAATTAGTTGAATAAGTAATTTACCAAGCAAAATGTTAGCACTTCCGAGGAACATTCTACCAAAAATTATGTATGCACGTACTAATAGTAAATTCTACCATCTTCTATGAAAATGGAACTTTAAGTCTGTAAATATTACAAATAATTTTAGCATCTCCAAAAAACCTGTTATATTATTTATATATAACAAAAACATTTTTAGACATTTTTTTCCAACATGGTACACTAAGTACGGGTTATAGTTCAAATAATGACCACAGCATATCCTCATATCCTAGGACCACGGTGTATTACATTAAATAACATATGTGAGAACGATTCAAATAAAATTATAGTACGTCCAAGAACATGGTAATTTGAATTACATAATCATTTATATAATTTTGCATCTTCAATGGACGTGGTATTCTATTTCAGAAAAGTTAAATACTAGAACAAATTTACAGCAGTTCCAAAAACATCCTATGTTGCTTTAAGAATAATAACGTAGTTTGTTAATATCTGTGAGGAACATTATGTATTGGCTTGGGTAAAATCAAGATAAGAATTTGCGTACGAGTGTTTATGAACTGCAAGGAATATGGCATATGAAGTTGGGAACATTTATACCAATAATCATATAACACATTAATCTAATGTATATTTACGTAGCCTGAGTGTGATTTTTACCTATATAAATAAGGTAAATGATTATAAACAAAAGGAAAACACTGCTCGACTTAAATTGTACAGTCAACACAACACAGTATTATTTAATCATTATACTAAAATTCTGTACCATTAATAAGTCATAATATATTATCTATACTCAGTCTCGCGTGTCAGTGATTTGTTGTTATATTGTGAGTGTTGAGTGTAGATGAGCTTTTGAAGTGTTTTAAAAACTTGCATATATAATTATCTGTGGTGGGTACACGCGGTAAATTATATTTTATAATCCCGGTCTGTAATGGTACTCTAAAACAAATTAATGTTATTGACATGCCTGCATTTCTTTAAATATTGTGTTTGTCACGAAATACCATTTTTATATCGTCTGTACTAGCCTATCAGGAGTGATGTAAATAATTAAGTCCATAAGCTGCCATTTCAAATTCGGTCAGGGAATATTGTGTTCTTTTTCTAACTATTCTCAGATGGCCTCCTTTGTAACATCTTCAGAACTGATGAATTTAATATTTTAATATTTTCCGTCGAATCACAATTTTAATAAGATAATAAAATATAAAATATTTAAAATATCATTTCACGTTCCGCATCGGAACGTGAAATGATATTTTAAATATTTTATATTTTATTATCTTATTAAAATTGTGATTCGACGGAAAATATTAAAATATTAACCTAATTCACAATATGACGCAAATATACTACCTTATGATGAATTTAACCTAAAGAATTCTTATAAATTCAGTTTGTATGTTCAATAAAAGAAACTGTAAATTTGTTACAATAATTTCTGCCTAAAGTTATTCAGCCAAATAATAAAGTGTTTATTTTGATGACAAAAATGGAATCATAAAGACAGATGGAATTAGATTCGGACTTATTTTAATATAAAATGGACTGATAAATATAGTTGTCATAAAGTTGTAAAGATTTAAAGCGTTTTTAAAATTTTTCCTATAATCTCAGAAACGCATTTACATGAAGTAATCAGTATGACCCCTTCCACCGGAGTATACCTCTTCGAAACCCTTTCTGCCTGCATATGGAGGGTAACTCGATAAATCGTCAACACGGCTGATGGAATATCCCTTGTGGGAAGACTTCTTGAGGACCGCTACAATAGCAAGGACGAAGGACACCATGCTAAGAATGAAGGCTTTTCCTGAGACTAGGGACAGAGCTGCAATCCCAACTGATAGCATCATGAAGAACTTGAGTTTGAGGGCGATGATGACTGGGAGAGCCATGAGTGCTGTCGAAACCACGATATGCAACATCTTGAACAAATGCTTTCCCTTCAGCACCTTCTTCCTGATTTTCTTCTGTCGGCGGGCTGTGAACAAGGGACCTTTAAGTGAAGTGTTCGGTGCACAGAGACATAAAAAGTAATTAGGAACGAAGTTCGTAATGACATTTTAATATTACTGAATATGCGTGAGGTTTCTTTAGCTACGATTGGGTTCACATGGCTTTAAACATTGTAATGAGTATGCTAATGTTTCATTAATGAAACCATCGTTACATTATCACCTAGAAACTGACACAGAGATTTTATGTCTGATTAGGCTTAGAAGTATTCGAAGCTTATCTAAATTGATTTACGAAGTCAAGTTATAAAAATTGTTGTAATTCCTACATGGTTGACGTAGTTTGAATTTTATAAGTATAACTTACTCATGTTTAAAAATATATCCATACCGGTATTAAAACTTATAAATATAATGAACAGATTATAGAAATTATGTATGAAATCGAAACGTTTGTCGGCGTTACACAGAACACTTCAGCATGCCTGATCCCCTGTTCAGTACGCGCTATAATACACGCTCTACAAGTTACATTAACCAGGACGTACACTAAGTTATTTTAAACTGACATCATATGACTTAGGATGTAAATCTGTCATATATTCTGATGCAGCTGTTAAAAGTTTTGTAATCAAGCCTTTATAATAGAAGTTCAATATTTTATACAAAATAATATACTGAAACAGAATGTAACATTTATATTTTTCGATAATGTCATTGCATATTTACATATCTTTAAACATGTAATTCCAATTTATCACATATTAGTTGCAAATTATCTTAAGAGAGTTTTTAGGTTAGATCGAGCCCATCACATATCAGAAACTTCTTGTATCTTGTCTTCTGATAAATTCTAAACAAACACATTTCAGTTCTTTCCTTACTCCTTTCACTTCTGGCTTGTATGTGGAAGACAAATGTTATTTGTTTGTTTGTTGATGTTAATTAATAATTTATACTTATTAGAAGCCACGGGTGGCAATAAAATGTATTCGTACTGATTTTAATCCTATTAATAAACAAAGTATATATTCACTTATAGAGTTTTTGACCGAGATACTATCTTCTTCGTTGCATGGAAAATGTTAACATATGTGCACTGGATAAATGAATTCCCATTATTTTCATATGGGCTAGTATCCTGGGCTCTGGCGACCACATTCTTTTCGATTCTTGTGAAGTCGATTTATACCAAGCGACGGCCTCCAGCGTAGGGGTCGGTTCCATCCCCAAACAGGGGACGACCACCCACCATTTGATCCATTCGCCTCACGAAGTTGTAGGATTCTCTTTTATAATTTCCTATAAATGCTGCAGGTAGAGCTAGCATACTGAACATTATGGTCTTTCCAATAACCAAGCCTAGAAAACCAAGTCCCAAGGAAACCATAATGAAGTACTTGAGTTTGACCGCAGCGATTATTGGAACCATCGCCGTTATGATAGCCATTATGATCATTTTCATCTTGCGATTCACTCTCTTAATCTTCCTTTTGCGAAAATTTTCACCCACACCTGTTTCGTAAGAATGAACAATGAACTTACAATAATTTTAATAACCCATAATTATTAATAATATATGACTGGGTGTGTAGGTTCAGTAGTTTCTTAAATTAAGTTACTGTAAAATTAGATTTGAGGTTCTCACGGAGATGAAAATATTTATCGTGGTCTTATCGGTTGTGACTCCATGCGGTATTGTTGAATTACAAGACTGCATGGTGTTGTAGTGCAAAAACGTACTATGCGAATTTCTGTAATAAGTTGACGCACGGTTAAATAAATTTAAAAAAAATAAACGCAGGATTTAAAATTATTGGTTGAAAATTTTTAAAGAACAGTTCTTAACTAATTAATTAGCTTGTATAAAACTCAGTGTATGTAGTTTTGCCATAGGATGGTTACTGCGCAGACGCTACAAAAGACAAAGCCAATTTGTAGCTTCACTCTCGTGTTTCTTTCTACTGAGATTTAGAACTTCAGTGAATCTGTAAGCAATTGGAATGTAGTTTATATAACTTCTGTATGTTTTCAATGGGCATTACACTAGTATTTAAATAAATAACAGAGAACTAGGTTATAAAATTATGACATGTAATGAAATAGCTCAGAGCAAATCTGTGAATGCTGATGAATCTTAGATTTCCGTATAAGTAAGGAGATTTTGTTAATATATGTACCGGTCTATAAAATGTATCTCTCAATCGATATAGAGCAGATGTAATTAAACATTACTTTCCAATTTGCAATAAATATTAAAACCATATTTACATCAAGAATGTACATCAGTAATTAATATTTATATATAATTTTGGAATATAGTGCATTAATGTAAACAAATTTTAAATTTAGTCTCTGCTATTAAAATGTATTTTAACCGTAAAAATATAACAAAACTTTATACTCTATATGTACAATACTAACGAAAATACGGACAAACTAATGTGTAAAATTCACTAAATAACCCAATTTTTTTAAACCGTGCGCAGTTTATGGGTTCCTTCAGGCGCGGAGGCTCATACAAATATATCATTACCCTTCCACATCATTTAAAATTCATAATTTGTTACTATATTATATTTTCTGATCAGAAAGATTCATTAGATTGTCTATGAACGACACAATAGCAATTGATTTATATACCAGCGAATAAAAATTTCCTTGGATATTATCCATCGTCTAGTAAATATAAAACGTAAAACGACGTTTCGGAGATGGGACTCTATCTCCGTCTTCAGGTTCCTACACAGTTGGGCCCACTAGATAGAGCTAATCCCTATATCCGAAACGTCGTTTTACGTTTTATATTTACTAAACGATGGATAATATCCAAGTAAATTTTTATTCAATTGACTCTTCACCATCGTCAAGAAGTTGTAGATTTTATATACCAGCGAGCTACACGTTTTAACAAATCACACTAACTCACCTTCTCTCGAGTCTTTATTTTCATCGTCGTACACGTCCTCGTCCTCTTCATCGTCCTCTAACGGCAATTCTTCGTCGTTCCGTGGACTCTCTTCCAGAATTTCGTCGTACGGAATCAGCTCGAATCCTTCTTTGTTCAGCAGCTGATGATTCCTGGTGCCGATTCCTAACAACCCGTCCAGCAACGTCGAGGCCCTCGATGTCACACAGTCCACAACTCCACTCTTCCAGTGATCTTTAAAACACTTTAAAATTAAATAGACGGTGTCCCAGAAGTAATACGTCATCCCTTTGGAGTAAGAAATGCGGTTTCTGGTGTTCCGATACGTATTCGACACTGTCTTTATTATTTCTGAAGGCGGAGTGACCACGTAACTCTGATTGGTTGAGTTTATGGTCTCTGGGTCAGATTGGTTTGCTTTATTAAACAGTGTTTGATTAAACGTCGTGTTGGAAAGTTTGACTTCCATGTTTGTGCTGTTTCTTACGTCATTCTTCACAGCAATCATTATTTCAGTACCATTAACCATACCAGAATTTGTAGAGTTATCTCTCTGCATTGATAAGCTATGCTTCAGACTGTACCTGCCTGGAATTGGTGTCCACGGCGACCATTTCGTGTTGGTGTGTGGTGGTATGTGCTCTGATGACGAACTGTTGGTTTTCTGGTAAAATTTAAATTGGTTCGATTCTTGTACGACGTTGTTTCCGCTGTGAATACCTTCGTTTATTAAAGTTTTGTTTGATGAATACGCTTTTGGTATTTCAGTTGTTTTGCACAATACAAACATGCATATAAAATATATAGTATTCACAGTTACTTCCATAATTACACACACGGTTTGTTAATGGTTAACCAAACTAAGTTTTTAACACGTATAAATGTATTTTCGTAACAAGTGTTTGAGGTTTGACATGTTTCTAAGTCCAAACCAAAATGAAGGTAGCAAGTTGTCTCTCAGTTGTTCTTATAGCTTCTGGTATTTTAAGTTCGCCCTGTATTTGATAGCATGAAACGCTTGAGTGTGTCGTCATGCCAATTTTAGTACAATAATCAAACTTCCACGCGTCGTTATCACACAAAATTGCTATATATGGACGAAACGCTTTGGTGTGGAAACTTTGAACTCTGACAGAACTCTGTAAGTATTAGGTAGATGTCAGGTAACAGTTTAAATTTCTTACGTAAGTAGACTGAACGTGTTTCGTTACATTACGGTACAATGACAATTTTCCGGTAACGTAAAACGTATAAAATATATGTATTAATTAAAATCTGTGTTATTTGTGTTACTAAGGCCATCCTATTATTTAGGTATATAGCTGAATATATCACGGAATCAATGGTCGTGAAGGTTAGGTTAGAAGGTGTGTCTGTTGAACCGGTTTGAGTTATCCAGTGACACGGATGTTTCTAAGTCACGTGACCTAAACCTCATATTATGACCGGGAACGAATTTTATTGTGTGTGTCAGATTGTATTCTTTACATTAGTTATAACATAAATATAGCATCACTCTAGTGTAAACCATTAATAGTATCTGTTAATTTGAAGGATAGGAAAGTGAACTGGGTCACGTGACTTGATGTTACCACGTTAACTAAGAATATACAACATTCCGTGATCAAAAATCTTCCGACAAAAGAAAGTAACTATTGTTTACGTCGTAACCAGACTGAATTTATTGTTAGTGTAGAACGACTTATGATAAGATGATTATGGATAAGTGATAAGGCAGTTTCGTCCTGAAGCTGGTTACTACAGGATATTTCTGTTTATATGTAGGCCTATGTAGAATCTATTTCATGAAATATTTCTGGCCTATCACACGTTTTCTTAAACTTATAAACAGGCTTCAATGAAGTTGAATTTTGTGGAGTAGATCGAAAGTTTGTTGGGCGAATTTCATTTCCGTTTGAATCCGCCCTATATAATTCATACTTCCACGTCTTGGACTTGTCAGTTTTCTGAAAAAACGAATCTTTGTACATAATATTGATTATATAGTACAGTGTAGATCTTATTATAATTAACATATTTAGCTAAATTATTTTTTCTCCAAGAACGAAAAAAAGACGATGTTTTCTGAGTTATCTGTAGCGTGATGGATAGCAGTTATGTAATAACAGATTCCTATATCAACGTTTCGACCAATGACCTGTGCGAAGTTTCAAATAACACATTTGGAAAATGTGTTCTGCTCTGTAGTACATTCGGGAAATTATTTGCCACTAGACTATAATTATATTCGAATGTTTCAGAACTTGTTAAGCAATAAATCTTAATAAAATGCATTACTAACATTAATTACTCATTAAATGCAACTGTAACTCTTACAGAACAGTCCTTGTGCCCACCTATTTCTTCTATCTCTCTTCCTTCATCCTTGTTCTGTTTAAACTTGCTTTATCCGCCTCTGTACGGAACACGTTTTGTGATTATCAAATTAAGGACACAGATGCGAGTGCGTAGGAGAGATGAGAAGTGCTTATAGTTGGTAGGATCATTAAAAATAGTGTGTAACCAATAACCAAAATGCGTCCTGCTGTATGTATTTGTGGCAAATTTAAATTTGAAGTAATGCCTTAAGATTTATCAGTTTCCTCCCATACGAAATTTCGAATTCCTTTGGGTTCCATAATATTACCAATCCTGTCCCTTTCTCTATAAACGGGTTCCCGAAAATCATCAAATTGTCCTTCAAATTGGTGAAGACTGTCTTTGTTATGGTGGGCAAATGTCTGTGGCCCCAGGGGCCCGAAGGAATCCCCGAATGTGTTCTGTAAATGAGACTGTTGTGGTTGCTGTAGGAATAGCAAAGAGTTTAGGCCGAGGACCGTAGTAACGAACACCGCCAATTTGCTTAGCAATAGGGCCTTCTTAGAGACGATGATCACAACACCGATGAGTAGAGGAATTAGTGTGATCAATTTCAGTTTAAATCCCAATAGCAGGGGCACCAGGATGTGTCTCAAGATCAGTCCACCTGAAACAATGAAGAAGTTTGAAAATATAAAACATTGGTTCCTGAAGAATATATATGGCACATGAATAACATAAGGCTGGGGAAATGTACATCGTAAGGATCTTCACAACTAGTACACTTCGAAATATATTATTATTTATAAGATATTGTAATTGCGTCATATTGTGAATATTATAACAATTATTTATTTTAATCCGTCTTATCACAATATAATTTTTATTTAAAATATCTTATAATTAAGATAATAAAATATCATTAATGTTCCTTATCGATTGATCGATTTACATTTCGGAACATTTACACAACATGTTTCGGTTTTTATAAAACCATCATCAGGTGTAAAATATATCTAAGAGTTTAAAACTCAATTATGATTTCTGTAGTTTTTTGGTGATGTTTCATTACGTTAATTTTCCATTTTTGGGCGAAGGTGTTGTTTTTCTTAAATGTTATTAGATGTACATATCGGTCAAAGATGTAGGAGTGATTGTTCCGATATGTCCAGAAGTACTAGTGTCTTCGAATATCGATCAATCGATATGGAACATGAATGATATTTTATTATCTTAATTATAAGAAATTTTAAAATATTGTGATAAGACGGATTAAAATAAATAATTGTTATATTATTATTTGTTCAAAATTTGAACTGATTTTAATTTAATTAATATTTTACTTATGCATAATATTTAGCTCATTTACTTATTAATTATTTTTTAATAAATTTTTGTTAGTGTTTGGCTGTTTTAATAAATGAATTGATTTGAAATCAAGAGGATGGTACGGGTCAGATGATAAACCTATACAGAAATTCGTACCGAGAGCCCTGAATGGAAAGAACTACTTGGAAGACGTGAAATTACTTAAGATACGTGAAGTAATTTAAGCGTTTTTATGAACAGAAGTTGCGAGAATCTGAAGGAGAGAGCAGATGTGGAAACCAGCCGCTTCGTCTGAATATATGTCGCCCAGTTTGTTTAATGTAACTGGGACGATGCGACTCATGAAGACAGGTTGTGCCTTTGCAGACAATTCTTAAGATGTTCTGTTCTGTAAGCGCAGAAACGTGCATCTGCGAGTTCTTATGCTTGTAGCAGTAACCTGAATATGGTGTTACAAATTGGTACTGTAACTAACACATTAGCCTCGCAATGTGAATGCGTGTCATACAAGTGAATGAAAAGCACATTCATTAAGTCTACTCCTCGTCACAGAATGTCACAGTATGTTTTCATGGCTTAAAAATTCCATTGAACAACGATTTTGAATGGAAATATACCATCGTCCTCCTGTTCTACGCTATAGACTGTCTCTAGAATTCAGACAGCATCATCAGAGAACTATAAAAATTTGGAAATGTTTGCCCCAAGACAAAATAAGGCTCCTTTCTACATAACTTTATTTGGAGTTTCCACTCCAAGACTGAAGAGATCGTATCGTATTGTTTAGTGTCGATATGTAGAATATGTCCAGCTTCATCTCCAAGGCACTATCTAGGAGAAGTTGCCGGGTTTGAACCTCGGCCACGTTATTATCTATACTAACATATTTCACGTATTATTTGGTAACTCCAGGTGAATACAAAAATAGTGTCTTGACGTCAGCTAAAATTTCCTAAGATGATAAAGTTGCGTCATATTGTGATAAATATATATTTGTTTAAATCTTGTCAGTCTAATCACAATAAAATTCCTATTAAATATTAAAATATTACCATAATTAACATTTAAATATTTAAAATATATTAAATGATATTCTCTGTCGAAATGTTCGATTTACATTAGAAAATCACTTTTTACACGACATGTGATGTTCTAATGTAAATATGACTTAACTGGTGATTATGTTAGGCAGGCAACCTACAGTTCCTTCACCGCGTCCAGAAATGACTGATCCAACGAAACCGAACAATTATTCGCTTCATGTGATTGAAACATTATACACAAGATGTCGTTAACACAAGTTGTCTGTGAGAATATAGCAGCCTCTAGCGCAAGATCAGAGAACTAGAATGTAACCACAGAACAGCGATGAGATTATAAATTAATTTGTAATAATATTTTTAAATTACTGTTTCATCAAAAAGACATTGATTTTGAGGAATGCTTTGGCGTTTTTTAACTTTTTTCAGGGGTGGGCATTTATTATAACACTTTCACAAATGGTTTTAGAGGAATGTCATTGCATAATTAACATTGCGGAATTTACATAAAATAAGAAAAGTGATCACTTAGAATAAACAAAGGCTTACTCCAAAATGGACGACAAATACTTAGAAGTGAGTAAGTTAACTCTATTTCCCTAAATAAGGGTCTTATTACACCCCAAGTTCTGGTCATACAAATACATAATTTTCTCTTACCTCACGTCAGAGTACATTCAGACACTCAGACTAACTTAGACTTGCTTAGAATAGCGGTCAGCAACCGACAGTTCGCAAACCGCATAAGGCTCCCTATTAATTTTAGCAAAAACAAACTAACAGGTATGTACTGTACATACGTGTCGACTCATCCCTCAAATGAATGGCGTACTACAGGAAATATTTATAATTAATTGAGTATAACTTAATATGTAGGTAGGCCTATTATATATTTAATAAATAACATTACATTCTTCTTTCTTATATATGAAATTTATATTAGTAATTATTTGGTCAATCTGTACAAGATGATATAATGGTTTCTTTTTAATTTTTACAAAATTACTTTCAAATGCACTTACGAGTGGAAATCTCTTTGGCTTCATCTGGAAAACAAAGATATACACACATAAAGCTACTTTCCATAAAGCTTTTGTTTTATTACAAAAAGCTCTTTCTTTCTTAAAATGTTTCCGATCCCTCAATTATAATTATAGACCACTTTTCAAATCCATACAGAAATTTCATAAACTATATACTAACCACATTTAGTCAGCACAAAAATTTGGCTTCAGAAGGGTTAGAAATTGTCAGGCTTTCGGAAGATGTCGATAGATGTCCACACCCAACAGGTGCTGTATTTGTAATGTGGGAAGATTAAGATGACAAAGAGGTAATGTAGTTATAAAATACTTGTAATCCTGGGGTCTCGGGTTCGATTCCCGGCGGTGCCCGAATTTATAACTTGTGTTGGGCAAGACCGTGGTCTAGGCAACACGGAGTTTTCCTCCGTGGCATCCCAAGTTAGAACGCTGGCCTTGTAATCCTGGGGTCTCGGGTTCGATTCCCGGCGGTGCCCGAATTTATAGCTTGTGTTGGGCAAGGCCGTGGGCTAGGCAACACGGAGTTTTTCTCCGTGGCATCCCAACAATTACTCATTACTCCATACACACAGAAGAAGGCAATGGCAAAGCACTTCTGGATCATCTGCCAAGAACGTATATGAACAGGTCCCAGTCCGAGAAAAGGATGGAAGGATCCTGTTCATATGGACCTGTCGTCAGACAGAACACTAAATAAATAAAATATCACTAATTGTACGCACCCGTTCCTGCTGTCCGGTCATTGTATGTGGGGTAGCCCCGTTCAATGACGAATTCCATCACCCCTGCACCGTTAACCATGGGCCCTACTTTCATGAATAATCCCGGATGGATAAGACTCATATCCCATCTCAAAGATCTCCTCGCAATTAATTCTGCAGTCGCCTCCAATACGTTCCTGTAATCGGTAGTGTCCATATCTGGTGTGACGACTGTCTTAGGTGATTTGTCGTTTAAATCCTTGATCAAAGTCACACCATGTGAAATCTCTACACTCTCATGTTCACTGGCGTCCATTAGACCAGCTAGAGCGCCTTTATTGAAACAAGGTAACACGTGTCCAATAGAATGTCCATGTTCATTCCGCAGACATTGGTGAAAAGTGTAACTGAAACCATAGTTCCGATCATTATCAGGATAGTTTTCCTCTGATGGCATCACAACAGAACCACAGATGTACACGAAGCTCGCGAGAGGAAGAAACAGCCTAGCCATCAGAATAACCATCACTAAAGAACTTCTGAACAATTGTAACAGAAACTTGTGGGTTTCGGCGTATATATTCTCTCTTGAACCGTGTTAATGGCATGGAACTAACGTGTAATATATTCAGATTTGTTATCATTTGTTTTCTCTGTAAGAGAAAGTTTCAAAGACGTTTAATTTACAACAAAAGAACGGTACTTGTATCTGATTGCTATATAAAAATAAATAAATTTGTTAATTATTTAAATTAGCGTGTTTGTAATAAATGTAATTGATAATATAAATTTAACATCTGCTTGTATGAATGTGTATTTGTTTTATATTTTTATTAAACGAATTATATGTATTTTTGGCCCAGTTTTAATTATCTGATAAATGAATCTTTCCCAGTGGACACGCAAAGATGAACAAAACACAAACCCTTTCTAACGGAAACTAAAGTCGGCTCTCACGCGAGGTCAGATAAAACCCATTGTATGTAAAATACTCAAAATAATGTTTTATTTTCGTCTTTTCCATGACTACCCTATGGATGTGAATGAAACTTGGTATTTCTGGCGTCTGTACTTTATATTAGTAATTTCGACTCGGCTCGGTACGCCACGGTCAGTGTCATACTGCCTCCATCATCAGGGTATGAAGATTTCTGTCTTCTGGGTTATTGCGCTGTGTAGACTGGTCGATGTTAACCAACGTTTCAGAGGTCATACTGCCTCCATCATCAGGGCGATGAGTATGAAGATTTCTGTCTTCTGG